GTTCCCATAGTCCCTACTTTGCCATGTTTGCAGTTGTCCTTGTCAACGCGCTTTTATGCAAAAGCACATCCTGGCTCACTTTTATGGGCTGTGGTTTAAATACCCTGTTTCGGTTTGCTCCTCTCATGTGCTGCCCAGAGGCCACCCTGAATTCTGGGCAGTATTGTACTCTGATTTTGTTCTTGATACCTTTGCTTTATTGTTTCTGGTCAGATTTGTGTGAAGGCCACTTGGAATGATCTCAGGACTTCATATATGGAGGTGAAGGATGCCTTTCTCTCAGTTCCTTCTCCTGATTTGTCCCCATTCTGGGTTTGGGAGCCCTTAGTGTAGGGTGGGGAATGTTGACAAAGCATCTTCCTGTGTTTGCAGGATCCCTTTGGTGGAGAGTGGGAGTGGCATCTCCCCTAGGCTCAGTGTTGCTTGGGGTCAGATGGGGCTGATTGACAAAGCCTCCTCCCACAGCCTCACCAGCAGCAGCAGCCGCAGCCTTCCATCAGGAAGTGGGAGCATTGCTTCTCTGCTGGCTTTGGTTATTGTCTGCAGCATCAGTTGCCTGATTGGGAGAAAGAGGGCACAGCTCCTCTTGGACATTGGGGTTGTTTTGCATGGCCTCTCTCTCTCTCTCTCTAACCATTTCCAAAATTTTATTACCTAATTTTTGAAAGCTTTTGCTGCTATGTAAGAAACCACAAAGGAAAATTTATAAACACTATTTTCAGTGGATTAAGTTGCATGATTTCAAACATTGGATTTTTTAAAATTGAGATTTAGTTGACATATAACACTATATTTATTTTAGATGTACAGCATGATGATTCAATATACATATAAATCATGAAATGATCATTACAGTACGTCTGATTAACATCTATCACCATGTGTATTTACAGTTTTTTTTCCAATGAGAACTTTTAACATTTACACTTCTGGCAACTTTCAGATTTATAATACAGTAACATTAACTAGTCACCATGCTGTGCGTTCGTTAAATCCCCATGACTCATTTATTTTATAATTGGAGGTTGTACCTTTGGCCACCCGCAGTCATTTTGCCCACTCCCTGCCCCTGCCTCTGGCAATCACCAATTTGTCCTCTGTATCTGTGAGTTTGTTATTGTTTTTTTCTTTGGGATCCCACATGTAAGTGATTTCTTACGGTGTTTTACCTTTTCTGTGTGATTTATTTCACTTAGCATAATGTCCTTAAGGTCCCATCATGTGGCAAATGACAGGATTGCCTTTTTATTTATGACTGAATAATATTCCATTGTGTTGATGTACCAGAATGAATTTATCTGTCCATTCATTGATGGGCAGTCATGTTGTTTCCATATCTTGGCTATTGTAAGTAATGCTCCAGTGAACATGGAGGTGCAGATATCTTTTTGAGTTAGTGTTTTCATTTCTTTTGATTAGATACCCAGAATTGGAATTGCTGGATCATATGGTAGTTCTATTTTTAATTTTTTTAGGAACCTCCATAGTGTTTCCCATAGTGACTGCACCAATTTATATTCCTACCAACAGTGCACAAGGATTCCTTTTCCCCACATTTTGCCAACACTTGTGGCTTCTTGTCTTTTTGCTACTAGCCATTCTAACAGGTACAAGGTGATCTCTCATTGTAGTTTTGATTTGCACTTCTGCACTATGATGTTGAGCCTCTTTTCCTGTGTCTTCTGCCCATTTGTATATCGTCTCTGGAAAAGTGTCTGTTCAGATCCTCTGCCCATTTTTCAATCTGGTCGTGTTCTTTTGCTACTGAGTTTTATGAATTCTTTATGTGTTTTGGTTACCTACCTTATCAGATACATGGTTGGCAAATATTTTTTTTCCCATTTAGTGGGTTGCCTTTTCATTTTGTAGATGGTTTCCTTTGCTGTGCAGAATGTTTTTACATTTGATGTGATCCCTTGTTCGTTTTTGGTTTTGTTGCCTTAGCTTTTGGTGTTAAACCCAAAAATTCATCATCGAGAGCAGTGTACTCCCTCTTCTCATTTTATACAACCCCTGCTTTCTTAGGAACCTTTTTATCTTTTTTCTTTTTTCCTCCAACTTACGGCAGATCTGAGTTGGGGTCTGCTGTAACATCCAGATTGGGATATGCAGGAGGTAAAAATAAATCCTATGGAACTCCTCACCCAGTCCTCCCTTAATTCTTGGAGGTTCCTACCATTCTGCCTTCTTTTGTCCACACTTCACAGTCTTCTGCTATCTGCTTTGTGTGTTATATCTGTGGTTCTGAATAGTAATTGGAGTGTTTAGGTGGAGCTTACTCCATCATGATTAGAATGAGGACTTGACTCCTGTAATCATTTATGGGATGAATGGTTAAATGAATACATTTTTCTTGTCTACAAGGTGCTCATTTTTGGATGTCAGTATAACAGTAAGTATAGTATTAAGAGCATTAAGGTAAATTGCATGGGAGCTCACAGGCATAGAAATTAATTTTTTTGTAGCTATTTTGGAATAGGACATGTAGTGTGGTGGTGAGGTCATTGTTCCCACAATAATCTGTGACACCAAGTAGAATGCCCTATAATTCAATTCTGTCCTGACACTACCCAGATTTAGTGCAGACCTGCAGGTTAAAAGCAAAGTCCTGAACATGACTGCCCCACTTCAGTGCCGTCCCTAAGTGTCAGGGGTCATCTGTACTTCCAACCTACTGACTATAAGTTTGGGGGTTCCCACAACCCACTTAGATTTGACAGTTTGCTAGAAAGAGAAAACTCACTGAAAGTGTTACACTAAACATTGTAGTTTTATTATAAAAGCTATTTCCAGAAGTAGGCAAATGGAAGCAATGCATGTCTCGGTTCTGGAGTGGGGTGGAGGAGGAAAACCTTTCCCTGTGAACTCTGAGCACATCAGCCTCCTGTAAATCAACGTGTTCACCAATCAGGAAGCTCCCCTGGACTCCGTTGTCCAGAGTTTTGTTTGGGGTTTCATTGCAGAGGCATAGTTGGTGGGATGATTGGCCATGTGATTAAAATCCTCCAGCTCCCCTTTCCTCCCTGGAGGTCTGGTTGGCTCAGAGTTCAACCCTTTCAAAATGTGGTTAGGCTTTCTGGTGACCAACCCCCATCTTAAGGCTTTGTAGGGGCCACTCATTAGCATAAGAAAGGCACTCTTGTCACTCAGGAATTCTAACTTTGTTCAAAGCTCTGTGCTGGAAACTGGGGACAAAGTCCAGACGTAGTCTTTCTTACTTACCAGGGTCATCAAATTCGAAATCAAGGAGAATGTGGAATTTGAATAATATCTTGAAAGATGAGTAGGATTTAAACATTTTAAGTTGGGGAAAAGGGCATTTCAGGCTGAGAGATTAGCAGTCCCTTCAACAAATGATGTTGGGAAAACGGGACCACTTTCTTACACCTTACACAAAAATGAATTTCAAATGGATGAAAGACCTAAATGTGAGACAGGAAGCCATCAAAATCTTGGAGGAAAAGACTGGCAGCAACCTCTTTGAATTTTCTGGGAGCAACTTCTTACTAGACACATCGCCAAAGACAAGAGAAACAAAGCAAACCTGAACTGGGACCTCATCAACATAAAAGCGTTCTGCATAGCAAAGGAAACAATCAACAAAACAATGGGAGAAGGTATTTGCAAATGAAATTTCTGATAAAGGGTTAGTATCCAAAAATATATAAATAACTTATAAAATTCAATACCCAAAATCCAAATAATCCAGTTAAGAAATGGGCAGAAGATATAAATAGACATTTCGCCAAAGAAGACATTGAGATGGGTAATAGACACATGAAAAAATGCCCAACATCACTCATCATCAGGGAAATACAAGTCCAGTCAAAACCACAATGAGATGGCACTCACACCTGTCAGAATGGCTAACATTAACACAAGAAACAACAGGTGTTTCGAGGATGAGAAGGAAGGGGAACCCTCTTGCACGGTTGGTGGGAACACAAGCTGGTGTAGCCGCTCTACAGAATAGCATGGAGGTTCCTCAAGAAAATAAATATAGAACTACCCTATGATCTAGCAATTGCACTACTAGGTATTTATCCAAACGACACAAAAATACAGATTCGAAGAGGTATGTGCACCCGAACGTTTAGAGCAGTGTTATCAACAATAGCCAAATGTCCATCCACTGACGAATGGATAAAGGTGTGGTATGTATACACAATGGAATACTGCTCAGCCATCAAAAAAAAAAAAAAAAAAAAAAAAAAAAAAAAAAAAAAAAAAAAAAAAAAAAGAAGGAAAGAAAGTCTTGCATGTGCAGTGACATGGATGGAGCTAGAATGTATTCTGCTAAGTGAATAAGTCAATCAGAGAAAGATCAGTATCATATAATTTCACTTATGTGGAATTTAAGAAACAAAACAGATGAACATATGGAAAGGAGAAGGAATAGAGGCGAGAAGGAAACAAACCACAAAAGACTCTTAAGGATAGAGAATAAACTGAGGGTTGATAGAGGGGAGGTGGGCTAGATGGAGGATGGGTACTAAGGAGGGCACTTGTGATGAGCAATGGGTGTTGTATGTAAGTGATGAATCACTGAAGTCTCCTGAAACCAGTACTACACGGTATGTTAACTAAAATTTGATTAAAAAAAAAATTAGCATTAGCAATCACACAGGGGCACATAATCAGAGTTTAAAATACAGAAATGTATCAAGGTCTGTTTTTAGCTTTAGTGTAGTATATATAAAAAACAATAAGGGGTGCCTGCGTCGCCTAGTTGGTTAAGCATCTGACTTCAGCTCAGGTCATGATCTCATGGTACATGAGTTTCAGCCCTGTGTCGGGCTCTGCTGATAGCTCAGAGCCTGGAGCCTGCTTTGGATTCTATGTCTCCTTTTCTCTCTGCCTGCCCCTCTCTCTCTCTCTCTCTCTCTCTCTCAAAAATAAATAAACATTAAAATAATTAAAAAATAATAAGCTTAAAAAAATGCCAGAATGGGGCTCTCATTTATAGTATTTATTAATCATAAAATCTTTTATTCCTACAGAGCAGAAGATAGAAGAGATCTATTGATGTTTTTCCGAAGCCTACACTTTTTTGTGGAGTGGTGTGAATATCGTAAGTGCACATTTGAACACTTCAAGGTAGGGTCTAAAGTTTTTAGATGTAAATGTATGTGAAGAGTGAAGCTGGTTTAAATTTAAACATAACCTAAAAGTGAAGCTGGTATTAATTTGGGGATTTAACATAGCATTCTTTCCTTAAAGTTTTCAAAGAATACAAAATATTTTCATTGGCTTCTGGAATTTGCAGTTATTTGGGGTAAATGAAGAGGAATGCTTCTGTACAAACCAATGAGTCATTTGTATTATGGGATATCTTGGAAGAAGTATAGTTATATTCTTACTTACCCCCTACACATTTTGAAAAATTAATCTGTCAAGAGTACTTGAAACAAAATACAAATGCTCAAATGAATGTAATTATAGCAGGCTTATCACCTAGCACAGTCCTTACTTTCTGAGTCATACTCTGTATTTTGAGCTTCTTAATCATTGTGTATTTCAAGTTTAAGTATTTAAGCCTGATTTCAGTAAAGTAATGCTTCTTAATTCTGATAATAGATACATTTAAGGACTTCTTTTTATCCTGTTTTCTGTCATAACCAGAATTATGTTTGGCTGCATTATAATGCCTCAGGTTGTACTTAGTTGGATAGTAGCAATATTGACAGCTGTAGTCCATACAAAATCCGGTTCTAAAAGAGTCAATATAATAATATCTCAAAAGCCTAACCAGGCTGTGACTATTGTTTTTGTGATTGGTACTAACTCTTGTATATTTGCATTCTTTTTTATTATTATTATTATCACTGTTACCACTACTACTGCTATTACTTGCATTCTGTTGGGTCGAGTTAATAAAATCTGTCAGGCATAGAATTTTCCTTAGAGTGAAACATGGTTGTACCTGTACTGTGGTCCCTTGAGTTCTCTCACTGTTGTTTACTTACAGGTGCTCTTGCACCCAAACAGTTAAATAGCTTTGCTTCATAATTGGTAAATATAGTAATGACTGAGAGTATGCTGGCAGTTGTGGTGACGAATCACCTAACATGGGTTGTGGGAAATGTGAGTGTTAGTCCCATTTCCAAAGCTGATTTGACTCTAGGTGCTTTCAAGGAGGCATAGAAGTATAATTGGTGTGTTTATCCTGTGGAGGACACAGTGCTTCTGCGGGCCGACTTTCCTGGGTGATAAGGAAAGAAATGGAAAGGACGGAAAGAAACAGTCACATTGTTGTGCAGCCACCACCAATATTTATCTCCAGAACTTTTTTATCATCTCAAACTGAAACTCTGTTCCCATTAAACACTAATTTGTCATTGCTTCCTACCCCAGTTCCTGAGAATCACCATTCTTTTTTCTATTTCTGTGAATTTCTAAGTACTTCATTTAAGCAGAATCATAAAATTTATACTTTTTGTTTGGCTTATCTCACCTAGCATAATATTCTCAAGGTTCATCCATTCTGCATCAGATTGAAGGATTTCCTTACTTTTTAAGGCTGAATAATCTTCTGTTGTATGGATGCCCCACATTTTGTTTATCCATTCATCTTGATGGATACTTGCATTGTTTCCATCTTTTAACTATTGTGAATAATGCTTCTATGAACATTGGTGTACAAATACCTGTTCAAGTCCCTGCTTTCAGTTCTATTACAAATATACCTGTAAATGGAATTGCTGGGTCATATGGAAATTCTGTTTAATTTTGTGAAACACTGCATGTTCTCTTCCATAGCGGCTGCACCATTTTGCATTCCCAACAGTGGTGCACAAACCTTCCAATTTCTCCACACACTCGCCAGCGTGTTTTGGGATTTTCCTTTGTTTTGTTTTTTTGGGGCTCATAGCCAACCTAATGGGTGTGAAGTAGAATTTTTCTTGTGGTTTTGATTTGCATTTACCTAATGATTAGTGATGTTGAGCATTGTTTCATGTGCATATTGGCCATTTGTATATCTTCTTTTGGAGAAATGTCTATTCACATCCTTTGCCCATTTTTTTTTTTTTAATTTTTTTTTTCAACGTTTTTATTTATTTATGGGACAGACAGAGACAGCATGAACGGGGGAGGGGCAGAGAGAGAGGGAGACACAGAATCGGAAACAGGCTCCAGGCTCCGAGCCATCAGCCCAGAGCCTGACGCGGGGCTTGAACTCACGGACCGTGAGATCGTGACCTGGCTGAAGTCGGACGCTTAACCGACTGCGCCACCCAGGCGCCCCTCTTTGCCCATTTTTAAATTGGGTGCTTTTTTCTTGTTGAGTTGTTGTTGTTGTTGTTGTTGTTGTTTTCCTTTAAGCTTACTTATTTTGAGAGAAAGTGAGCACAGCAGGGGAAGGGCAGAGAGAGAGGGAGAGAGAATCCCAAGCAGGCTCCACACCGACACCACAGAGCCGGATGCGGAGCTCGAACCCATGAACTGTGAGGTCATGAGCTGAGCTGAAACCAAGAGTTGGATGCTCAACCAACTGAGCCACCCAGGTGTCCCTGTAGGAGTGTT